CCAGCCTCTCTTCATTTCTTTAAAAAACTCACGCTTAACCACACGATCACACTCTTGGGAATTTATCCCAGAGCAATGAAAGCACATGTTCACACACATGCCTGCACACGAGTGTTCACTGCAGCTTCACTTATAACAGCCCCAGGCTGGAAACAACCTGAATGTCGCCCAGGGGTGGACGGACAAGCAAACGGCAGCGCATCCGTGCAATGAAACACTCTTCAGCAGCAAAGAAGGAATGAACTGTTGATACACACAACAACTTTTTTATTACTCGTATTTTCTTTTAAATGGTTTAGTACATATTGCTAGGGACTGAACCCAGCCAAAGGCACAGTCGGGGGCATTGAGGACAGAAAAACAGGGGAAATAGGAGGCAAGGATCAGACAAGGAGAATTCCAGGGGATTCTTTTTTTTAAGGTTATTGAGGCATAGTTGGTATAAAAATTACATACATTTGATGTATACATTGGATATGCTTGGACATATGCAGACACCCGTAGTGCTCTCACCACAATCAAGGTGCTGAACATAGCTATCATATTTTTTTTCATTTTCGTTAACACACAATAATCTGGGTGAATCTCACAGGACTGTGCTGAGTGAGAAGAGCCAAGCTCCAAGGATGAGGTAACGTATGACCCCATTTATACAAAATCCTTGAAGCGACAAAGTTGCAGAGATGTAGAGCAGATTAGAGAGAGATTACAAAGAGGTAGCACGAGGGAGTTCCTACGTGGTGGTGGGACAGTCTCTGCCTTGATTGTGGTGGTGGTTCTATAAAGACACGCAGGTGATGTCTGAGAATTACACCCATAGACATGCCAAGAAAAGAGAAAAAAAGAGAAACAGGTTACGCACAAACCGATGCTATCTGAGTGACATCTGTAATCGTGTTAATTGCATGGTGTCAATACCAATGCTCTGGTTTTGATGATGTACTATATATGATGTACTATATATGTACTAGATACTATTTTTGGGGGAAGCTGGCTGGTGGATATGCTGGAACTCTACTATTTTTTTGTGAAGCCACAGCTATTTTAAAATAAAAATTATTTTTACAAAAGTATCTTGGGCAAGACTTCAGATGAGGTAGGACAGCCCTCGGAGTGGGCAGAGCCACACGCACAGAGAATTTATGGGGAAGATGTGGTCATTGACTGCTTCTTGTTTCCTGAGTCAGTTGCAAGAAGGAAACTGTGCACCAGGGCGTGCGGAGGACCAGAGGCTCGGAGCAGGACCTCCACCTGCACATCCTGGGACGAAGTGGGCAGGGAGAGGGCTGTGTCTGCCCCAGGCCTGCTCCTCCTTTGGGCTGTAAGACTGAAGACCGGATCTTGGTTCAGGAAGAAGGGACGCTATGATCACGGAGTTCCTGTCCCTGCTCTGCCTTGGTGAGTCTCCAGGACTGGGACAAACGGGTTTGGTTGGTGAGGACAGTTCACGGGGGAGTGGAAGTTAAGCTGGGGAAACAAGCAGGAATAATGACTTGCATGTACTGACTACACGTGCTGGGTCACAGCCTGTGGGCTGGGGGCGTCACAGGCATTGGCTCTGGTGCCCACACACAAGAGATGGGGCACCCGACCTGCAGAGACATGCAGTGCCACCCTCTGTGTACTCAGCTGGGAAACGCAGAGCTCTGATGGGATCTTGGGGTCTGTATCCTTTAAATACCACAGTCCTGCCGTGAATGTTCCATTGGAATAGGGAAGGGCTGGGTTTAAAGATCTACAAGGTGCAAAGTTGTGAATAAGAAGAAGATTTCCTGAGCAGGCCTATCCTTAGGCCGACTTTAACCATCCTCAGTGTGAAGCCAGTGCAATGAGGCAATCTTGGCCCCGTCACACAGGAGCTGCAGACTTTGCACGAGCAGCTCCACCTCACTGAGCCCCCTGCTCCCCCTTGGTGCGGTGGGCAGTGGGGTGGACGTCAGCGTGCTTCATCTGCCCCAGTTCCTTCCTCCTTTTCTAGGGGTGACTCTCCGCCCCTGCACACACTCGTGCCTTAGAGGTGGCTGTTGACCTCTATGCCCAAATCTCCAGCCACAGGACAAATAAACCGATCAACCAAGACACTGACCTCATCCACCCTGTATTCATTTCCTGTGGCTGCCGCGCCAAAACACCACAAACAACAGAAATGTATTCTCTGACAGTTGTGGAGACCAGAAGTCTGAAATCAAGGTGTCAGTGTCGATTCCTTCCGGGGGCTCTGAGGGACTGTTCCCAGCCTCTCTTCCAGCTTCCAGTGATAACTGGTGCTTCTTGCCGTTCTTTATCTTGCAGAGACATCTCTCCAATCTCTGCCTCTGTCTGCACGGGGCTGTCTTCCCTCTGCGTCTCTGTGTCTCTCCTCCTCTTCTTATAAGGACCCTGCTTGCATTGGATTAGAGGTCAGCCTACTCAGGTACGACCTCAGCTTAGCTTAGCTGATTACACCTGCGAAGACCAGATAATACTGTTTCCACATAAGGTCACATGCATGGGAGTTAGAACTTGAACCCATCTTTTCAGGGGCACACAAATCAACCCATATCACCCCCTAACCACTCTTTGGGCCATAATTGTTATTCCAGGAATGGATCTATGATGCAAAATGCGTCAGTCCAGTTCCGTTGAGAAGTTTCTTAGACTGGCATCAAGGTGCAAACGTCTTTCCTCCATGAGTGTGACCTTTCAAAGATGCAAGACTGTAGCTTCTCGCGGCCCTGCTTCCAGGCTCTTGGTCCTATCCAGCCAAGGTTCATAAAGAGCTAGATGTGGAAACTAAGAGAAAAGGGCCTGACGGCATTAAGTCCCTGGAATAGGCTGTTCTGGAGACCAGTCCACCACCCCACTTACTGAGTTTGCTTACGTGAGCTAATACAATTAATCGTTCTTTGTCTCGATCTTATTTCAAGTGAACTTTCGACATTTAAGCTCATAGAAATCTTGATTAGAAGGGTAAAAGTATTTGACGTACATAAAGTTTTAAACAGTTATTGAGGGAAAATTCACATAAGAAATTTAAGCATTTAAAAGTGTACAGCTCAGTGACGTTTCGCATATTCGCCATGTTGTGCAACCAACACCTTTGTCTGGTTCCTCGACACTTTCGTCACCCCTAAAGGAAACACCGCACCCAGTAGGCAGCCACTCTCCTCTCCTTCCTCCCTCTGCTTCCTGATGACCACCGATCTGTTTTCTGTCACTCTGGATGCAGCTACTCTGGAAATGTCTTACAAACGGAATCATAAATGTGTGACTTTTTGTGCCCGGCTCCCTTCACTGAGTACAAAGTCTTTGAGATTCATCCACATCGTAGCATGTGTCAGAATTGCATTTCTTTCTATGGCTGAATAATATTCTACATAATAGTTTTAAGCTCTCCAGATGATGTATTTAAAGGATCTGTTAAGTTGCAGATACCCAACAATTATCATCTTTTTCTAGGGAACTATGATTGCTACTGTTGCTTGTTCCTCTGTATCTTGGTTGAAGGTAATAGCTCCTAACTAGCATGCACATTGTATAGCTCTCCATCTGATGTATGTAAACATGTATGCAAAGACCGTACTAAACGTCAAGTGCATGGTAAGTGGCAAATGCGTGAACCATAGTAGCTGTATGGTAAATGATAGTTATGTGTACAGGACCTGCTGAGTAATACAGGTGTGTAAAATGGTTGATGTGTGTAAAGAAACTGCTAAATGATGAATACATGGTAAATGGTACTCGTATGCAGATGGTGGATGTACGTAAAGCTTGTAAATTATGGTAAGTAGTTGATGTATGTAAAGAGCTTGCTAAATGGTAGATACACACTCACCGGCAGTTTTTGTGTTGTAATTATTTCCTGAGAAGTATGGTTCTTGATGTTGCCATTCCTCCATACCAGAATTTTCCTGATACCCCAAAGACCTAACCATATGCCTGTCTTCACTCTTGGCTTTTTCACGCTATGCTATGTGTCAATGAGTCTCTTCCCCTTAAGACAAACTTCTCCATTATAGCCAGTTCTCTTTGGCTAAGTCAACTGTGATCCCTTATTAAGAACACAGGAATTGGCCGGGCACGGTGGCTCATGCCTGTAATCCTAGCACTCTGGGAGGCCGAGGCGGGTGGATCGCTTGAGGTCAGGAGTTCGAGACCAGCCTGAGCAAGAGTGAGACCCCCGTCTCTACTAAAAAAAAATAGAAAGAAATTTTCTGGACAACTAAAAATATATATATAGAAAAAAATTGGCCGGGCATGGTGGCGCATGCCTGTAGTCCCAACTGCTCGGGAGGGTGAGGCAGGAGGATCCCTTGAGCCCAGGAGTTTGAGGTTGCTGTGAGCTAGGCTGATGCCATGGGCACTCTCGCCTGGGCAACAGAGTGAGACTGTGTCTCAGAAAAAAAAAAAGAATACAGGAATCATTGTCTGAACAGAAGCTTGGCTGACAGCAGCAAGGAAATGACTGACTCTAAAAGCAGGACCCTGATGCCTGGGACCCCTGGCCGCCCAGAAGCTGATGTCCTCCCTATCAATCTCAGCCAATCCTGCTGCTAATGCAGCCTCAGCCCACTGTCAAGCCGCCACCTCATTCATTCTCAGTGAAGCTTGGGCGTCCATGTTCTGTGTCAACACCTGCGTCAAATCAAGGGACACTAGATAACCTCAGGCCGATCGCAGGTCCCCATGGTGGCCCCTGGCCCTGGCTGGGGGGATGGGTGCTGGCACCTTTGGTGACTCTAGAAAACAAGGGACAGATGTCCTGAGATGCTCTTCTGTCTCTAGAGGAAAGTCTAGCTTCACCCAAAAGCAAACCCTGTGACTGAGATCCCATTTTCCCCACAGGTTTATAGTTCCCTTCCCAGAGGGCAATTCCAAGAACAGAGCACAGAAGAGGGAGGGGCTCACACACGCACAGATCAAAGCCACAAGGGAGGAGAAAATATCTTGAAGGGGGAGCAAATTCTCTCTGTTGGAAGGAAGGAGACCCCCCCCACACACACTCCACTGTAAAATAATCTTTGCATTAATCAGGTGGTAAAGGTAAAAACTGCAATCGTGGAAAATGTGAGAAGAAAACCTAAGTCAATGTTAGATGATTTATAGACAGCGAAAGGGGGAATCATCATAAAAGCGATTCAAAAAATCAGAAAAATGTTACTGGAATTTTCTACATACACATAACTTCTGAAAGACAAACACTGGGACAAAAGTAAAAGGTAAAAGGTAAACCTGGGAAAACACCTGTAAGGAACGAGACAGGTCTTTAACAAATCTGCACTCAAAGACAAGCACACGATTTATCTCTCACTGAGGTTTCTCTTCCAGGGCTGAGTCTGGGCCGTGAAGAGGACAAGATTGGTGAGTTCTCCCACGTACACTCTGTTTATTGCTGCATCTCGTGAGTCGTGACCCTTCCCTTTGATCCTCTGAATTCTAGGAGGGGCTTCACGGTCATCAAGATAAAGGCTCACATTGTCTCTGAATTCTTTCCAGAGAGGCTTCCCAAGCCCTCCCTCAGCGCCTGGCCCAGCTCGGTGGTTGGAAGCAACAGCAGCGTGACCCTGACGTGCCAGGCTCCGCTCCGGAATGCAACGTTCGAGCTGCGCAAGGTGAACGACCCCGGGTACAGGCGGGAGCGGAGCTCAGCAGACCGGGGAGCTGAGTTCCCCCTCACCCGCCTGGGGCCTGAGGATGCCGGGAGGTACTTCTGTGTCTACAAGACCAGGGCCTCCCGCGAGTGGTCGGAGAACAGCGAGCACGTGCAGCTGGTCATCACAGGTGAGGACAGCCTTGGATTGCTCTTTGATGCACATATTCCTTTTCCTGCGGCAGGAACTGGCTGGGGTAGACGGAGGCACCTGGGAAACAGAAAGGTAGACGCGGCACCTAGAATGTAGGGGGCTGCGGAAACTAAACGTGGGGCGAGATTCGCTTCTGGGGTTGTGAGTGGGCGCTGCTGATGCGGATGTGGGAGAGTGTTTTAGAACAGCCCTCCCCAAGCTTTTTGGCACCAGGGGACCAGTTTCGTGGAAGGCAGTTTTTCGCAGACTGCGGGTGGGGGGATGTTTTCGGGATGATTCAAGCGCTTTAAGTATATTACATTTGTAGCCGCTCCCCAGCGCTAGCATCACCGCCTCGGCTCCATCTCAGATCATCAGGCGTTAGATTCCCATACGGAGCCGCAACCTGGGTCTCTCGCACGCGCAGTTTACAGCAGGGCTCCAACTCCTGTGAGAGTCTAATGCCGCAGCTGATCTGACAGGAGGCGGAGCTCGGGTGGTGGGGAACAGCTGCAAATACAGGTGAAGCTGTGCTCGCTTGCCCGCTGCTCAGCTCTTGCTGTGTGGCCCGGTTCCTAACAGGCCACAGATCAGTACCCGTCCGTGGCCCGGGGATTGGGGACCACAGTTTTAGAATATAGTCAATTAACAGAAAAATTGAGGTACGGTACGGCCAACAGATCCAGAGGTTAGTGCCACTGAACCGTTCACAATTCCCGAGGGGAGGGCATGCCACGCTGCGAGGGCCACGTGGGGAGGCAGAGGGAGGAGGAAACTGTGGGCAAGAGCTTATATTGCATTTTTGTGGGAAGTAACAGGCTTAGGACTGGCTCTGGGGCACAGAGGCTGTCCCAGTTTGTCTCGTACTTGGTCCTGGGGTGATTTGGGCAGGAAAATGGTTGCCCTGAATGTGACAGCCAATAAAGGAGGTGACTGGGAGTGAGGGCCTTGGGTTGGTTTGGTTTGCATTTGGAAAGCATGCCTGAGGGCAAGTTGTTTACTAGTTCTACAAATTAACTGACCCTGGAGGGACAGTCCCTCCAAGGTCAGCAAGGCCCCAAGAAGCCAGAGCATCATTCACAGGAAGCAAAAGACACGGTTAATAGAGAGAGAGGCAGGTGAGGTAGCTCCCAGGTGCGGTGGGAAGGGGGAGCCCTGGCCTTTGCCTTTACCTCCACTGCTTTGTCCTCTTTAGGGTCACTCCCAAAACCGTCCCTCTCACTCAACACAGACCCCGGGACAACTCCCGGTCACAGGACACTCCGATGTCTGATCCCATACAACGGAACTGAATGTATTGTAATTGCCCTGCTGAAAAACGGGGTCCTAGAGCCATCACAAGTCAAGAAAGTAAGAAAAAATCAAACTGATTTCATGCCCTGGAATATGACAAGCAATGACAGTGGGAACTACAGCTGTGTGTACTACCAGTGTAACTTGCCACACTTGGGCTCCTGCCCCAGCGACAGCCTGGAGATCTGGGTGACAGGTGAGGACAGGGTGACAACACTGACCTTTGACACATATACGGCATTTTCTATGTTCCAGTCTCCATTGCAATTAACTTATTCCATTAATTCGTTCGACTTCTACTTCCTTTGAGAGTGGTTGTGTTACCAACTCCTTTTTGGTTGTGGAGGTTAGGGGACCTCCCTGATGTCACAAACACAATTGGCTTCACAGTTACTGTTCAAACATAAATGCAAAATTACTTCATTTTTATGTCAGAGCAAAAGAGCTAGGAATACTGACCAGAACTCTAGGAAGGATGCAAGGAAGGCAAATAATGGAATATGGGGCTAAGAGAAAGTGTAGTAGGAGTGGTGCAGGTGGCTGGGAATATAAAAAGAAAATAATGAAGACAGTGGAGGGAAGATGCATGTGAGAGGGTTGTGACATAAGGGACTTGAAATCACAAGGAGGGGAATAAGAAATAATTTTGCATCACTTTCATCTATCCATCCATCCATCCACCCACCCATCCATCCGTCCATCCACCCATCCATCCACCCACCCATGGATCCATCCACCCATCC